TTAATAATAATAATGATAATAATCTTTATCCAAAAGTTTGGCGCGCTTCTCCTCACACAGCGTTGCCAACAGCGGCGTGAAAAATACACAAGAGGGAGAGACGAGGAAAGACATGGCAGAGCAGGACAATAGTTATGTAAGCTGTAAAAGATAAAACAGGACAATCTCCAAATGAGAAAGATTGCCAGAGAGATCAGAGTCTCTCTCTCTCTCTCTCTCTCTCTCTCTCTCTCTCTCTCTCTCTCTCCACACACATATGACATGGAGATATTCAGTCAAAGGCATTGTTAGACCTCCTATCTGTCTGTCTGTCTCACTCACTCAGTCCATCTAACTGTCTGTCTGCCTGTCTCACTCACTCACTCTGTCTCTCTGTCCTCTCTGTCTGTCTCTCTCTCTCCCTCTCTGTGTCTCTATCATACAGTCATTCAGGTCTTAGATATTTTTAGAGGACTTTTCCCCTCTCACCCCCCCCATTTCAAATTAAAGCCCCACAGAATGAATTCTAACTGGAATGCTTGTGATGAAGCCTCTCATTTTAGTGTCAAACATTATGATTCTGTCTCCTCTCCCCCTCTCTCACCCACCCAGTCCCACCCTTTCAAAATAAATACACGTTTCAATCCAAGAGTATGAATCTAAAATGCAGAAAAGAGAGTAGCGCTATCGCAATTGAACCTGAACGACACTACCGGTAACATTGGCGTGTGTATATATTGCGATTTCTTCGGGCAATAGAAGCCACACTGTCAAAATTTCTTTAGGAATTTTCTAGTTATTATTAAGCCCGATGGATAATATACAGTGTCCTTCAATCAGAGGATCGGCAGTTCGATCCCCGGCTCCCCTAGTCACATGTCGATGAGCAAGACACTTAACCCCAAAAACCCGTAGCTGTGCCTACAGTGTGTGAATGTGATAGGCAGGTGTCACTTAGCCCCTGCCATCAGTGTGTCAATGGGTGAATGATGACAAGTAGTGTGAAAGCACCATGAGTGGTCGGAAAGACTAGAAAGAGATATACAAGTCCATTTACCATTACCATTTAGTAGAAGACAAGTTCTCCCCTGATGCAATGAGATATGTGATACGGCATATTTGGATTTTTATTACATTATGTGAGCGTGTTGATGTCGAGATTACTCCGTCCTGAATCCAGAACAGCAGCTTTCAGACACAGACTGCTTCTGTCTCGCTTCTGGCCTTCTTATCAACAAGATGGAGGGGAAAGGTGTGTGTGTGTGTGTGTGTGTGTGTGTGTGTGTGTGTGTGTGTGTG